AAGACTAGAGTTCATTCACTTCACTCTCATGCATTAAAAAACATATCAATTCCATAATCAAGTCAAAATCAACTCACAAACATACTCAAATTCTATCCCTAGTGACTTTGAGCCTATATCAAATTTCAATACCTTGAATCTTCAATAAGCAATCATGCATTAAGTTCAAGAGTCTTAAGATTTCTATTGAAATCATGTTCTATTCTTATATACAAGCATCCTTAGGCATTTATTTTCAATTATAGATTCAAGTTATATTTCCCAATACATCAAGAACCACAAATCAAGCATTAGAATAATCCACGTCAAGCATGAAGCATGGAAATTGAATACAAACATGAAATGGAAAAACATATATAATTAATAACATAAAATTACACAAGAGTTCCATGTTTTAATACTAATTTCAACAAATAAGGCTAGACCTCCATGGTGGAGAACTTAGGGTTTTATAAATTGAAGAGATAGGGAAGAAATGAAAACCAAAGAGAAGATGCAAGCTCTCTCCCAAGGTTCTTGGTAGTTGCTCCAAGCTCTAATTGCACATCTCCTTTGCATAAACTCCTTTAATTTGTAGTTCCTCTCCCTCATCAATCCTAAAGAGGGAGAAACACCATGGATGAAGATCGAATACCCAAGGAGGAGTGGGGTAGCTTCCCAACACCCTAAACAATCTGCAGGGGTCTTTGTCAATCACCTTAGGTCGAGAGTGAAATATGGGATGAAGAGAATTTTTCGAAGCTCGCGATAAACATGTTTAAATATCTCATTTTGACATGTCAGCAACGTTGTTTCTCAACGCCATATCAACACCATTCAACACAATATCAGTTAAAACACGAAAAGGGGCTCTCTGTCAAACTAATGCAATTCCACAGCTCAATGGCAAGGCTGCTGGACTAGATGGCACGCAACACCACTTTTGTGTCGCTCATTGTCAGGCTCATCTGCAACACTGGTTGCTCTTTGACTTTGCAGCGCTTAGCGCAATTTTGGTGCCACTCAACGCGGCTATTTGATAAAAAATGATTAATTCTTTTTAAAAACATGCTCCCTTAAGTTCTAGCTTGTTGTCCTTCATAAAAAAACTTTATATCAGTTTATCTTACACTTATAAACTAGGAGATTATAGGTAAAACAAGCATAAAACATCTAAAATACAAAACAATAAAAAATACACTAAATTTAAGGATAAAAAAAGATTAAAGCTAGGAAAGAGTTGATTTATTCATGACAATAGAAACACAAAAATTGGTAGAAATGAATATTATCATAAAAACATAAAATTTATGCATTGGAAGGTTAAGAAAGAGGTAACCTTTTGTGTTTGGTTTGAAACTAAGAAAAATACTAGGTGTAGCACAGTTGTCAAACTTTATTAAATATAAATAAATGAAAATAAGTGAAACAAGTATAATTTTATTACCAATATAAATAAATATCATTTATGAAATTTTAGAAAGATGAGTATTGTTTCGTTAAAAATATAAAAAAATATATAAATATGCATTTTAAAATTAGATGTCTGAGTGTCATTCTCTTCAAGATATGTACTATTATTTGAAGGGATAGGCGAGCGGGAAGAAAAACATTTTTAAAATACATAAAAGTAATGTAATGCAAAGTTGGATTGGCAATAAAGAGTTTATATAGTTTATGTAAAGAGTTTGTATTATACTTTTGTATTGACTTAATAAAATAATAGAATATAACACTTATCTTTTACTGGGCAATTGATAGGTTCATGTTATGATATAATTATACACCATTATATTAAATTTTTTAATATTTGAAATAAATTATTTAAAAAAATTTCAACAATTTTAAATAATTAGCAACATATATTTTTCTCAGAAGAATATATTTGATACGAAAATTGACCACTGCATGAAAGATCAGATGCTGCACGAAGAAAGAAACAATAAATGCGTTAAAGAAATTCTGAAAACAATAAATGCGTTAAAGAAATTCTGAATTCTCTTTTTGATCGCTCAATGCATGTTGATTAATTCTTCACTTCAATATTAAAAAGACACGTTAAGAAAATAATACATGCAAAAACGACACGTGGAAACAAATATAAGGAAAACCCTAATATAAGATTCTTTCAGTCTATACAAGGTTACACTTAAGTAAGAAAACTGCCCTCTTAAACAATATTTTATGGTTCTAACCTTCAAATATTGTTAGTATTAAAAGTCCATTCGATCAACTAATTAAAAATCATATCAAACATACTTTTAATAGGAGTGAACAGGTTTAATTATATAGAACCAAATTTAATGTTATATTTTGTCAATGAAATTGCTTCAATATGATTTTCCATCAAACTCATCTATCTAACTATAAAGTTGAAACTCTCTAATATTAGCTAAAAAATTACATTATACAAAAATAATACTAAACGACTTTGGATTCCAAATTTTCTTAAATACGTCTTTCAGAATTTGGTGGGAAAGAGACAAGACCAAACAGTTACATGCGAACAATTCTTCTGCAATGTAACTGGTGTGGTAAAGAATCTGAGACAGCTGTTGTATAAACGAAGAGTTATTGTGGTCGTTAAATAGAGATGTTGTGGTGTGGTTTTGCTCCAGAGAGATACTTTTGAGCTATCAGAAATAATGAGTAGTGGAAAATGGAACTGTGCATGGTGGATTTCATCGGAAGACCTTCAAACGATAAAGATAGCGATATTGATTGTGCCTCTGTTCGTGCTTACAGCGATTGCCACTGCGAAGACTTCACACATTTGCAGATGGAGTTTGGTTGTAAATTGTTATCAAAGAGATACCGGAGCTGATGTTCCATCTCCTCCCACCTTTGTAAGACCTCACTTTTCTCTTTTCAATCTTTCAATCTTTCACTCTTTCACTATGCTGATTTTCTCTCATTCCATTTTTTAAATCATTATCATAATACTCAACAAATTTATTATATTTTCTTTCTTTTTTTCATGTCAAGACTGATGCAAAAGAAAAAAATAATAATCCCAAGATAAATGTCATTTTAGTTCTTTGCTTTTCTATTCATTTAATTTTCTTTACTTTATCTACTGTTTTTACTTAACACAAAAAAAAATATTAACTAAAAATATCTGAAGACAAAACTACTTAACACATTGGATAATTGAAGAAGTATATGTTTGAAAGGATAAATAATTTTCTAAAGAAAAGTCACTAATTAAAGATAGACCCAACACTAATTTTTTTTCATGCATGCATGTGCAATAAAAACTAGATAATAAAAAGGATCATTTTAATTAGATGTAAATTCAATGTAATTTGTTTTTTAATAATTATAATGTAATATGAAGTGATTGATATGTCACCTGTTTCTTTAACCTCTCATTTCAATTTTTAATTAATAGTAATAATAATAATTTTTTTGCAGTGCTATGCTTAAAAAATAATACTTTCCGGTGAGTTGTCAGACCTTTCATATTTGTGCTGCTAAAATAGTTATTGTCATAAAACATTGCTGCTGCTTTAATGATGTAGATTTAATGCAGTTGCCAACTATTTCTTTGCATATGAAAGATTTGACCTATGAAAAATTAGTTTTTATGTACTGGTCTATTTTAAGGTGACTTATTTTGTTCAGTTCTAATTTAATATAAAATGTAAAAAGAACCAGATATTTTGTATGTTAATTTATATTGATTTTTGTAATTTTATTACTGATAAATTATTGAATATATTTTACAAAATGTAACTTTTTCAAACAAAAAATATTAAATATTTTATAATAAATTTTTTAATTGAAATGACATACTATAATTTTTAAATAATAACTATTATACTTATAATTATTTTTTAATATTTATAAATAAGATATAGTTAAAAGTTATAAGACAAAATCAATTATTATATTCTAATAAATATAAATATATTGTAATTAAAATATAGTAATTTTAAAAATATATTTATATATTCTTATTAATGTTAATAATTAATTATAACATATAATTTTTTAAATATAATTAGAAATATTTTAATTTATTTTATTACATAAAATTAAAATTTAGTTACTTTTAATTATTTTTTAATAGTTCAGGTTTGATCATAATTAAAACATAAATACTTTGGTTTAAATTAATATATATATATATATATATAATCCTACATTTTGGTTTAAATTTTGTAGACCTTTGGGATTGTCTACATAACAGTTATATAAAACCTTTTATAAATATTTTTAATATTATTTTATAAAATTATATTTAATGTCTTAAAATGCATGATAAATATTTAAGACTTTTATAATAAGAAGTGTAGACAAATTTATAATTAATAACAAGTGGGTTTTAAAAAATGTGAGTCACAATGTGTGACATCTTAAATGTAGGTTTTACTACTAATGCTAAAAGAGGAATTTAAATGGATTAAAATGTTGTTAACTCAACTATCATATATTTATTTTTAAGATACTTTTTTTATCAGCATTTTTTAAAAATACTAAAAGAAACATTAATTCGTTAAATCGAAACCACATATCTAACACTTAGAAATAATCTGTAATGATTACCAGATCATCAAGTTCCAAACACTTTTTTTTAAACACTTTTTTTTAAGCTTTTATATCAACATATATAATATTAATATTTGATAGTTTAACTAAATCACTCACTTGTGTTGTTTGAACAGAATGAAACAGGAGGTTTCAATGACTCCAAACCTTCGTTCAATGAACCTTATGTGGACGAAACTAGTGAACCTCACCTACTACTGGAGAAAACCAGAAAGTCAAACATCTTAGAAAAAACCGAAATTGGTTTAGCACAAGTTCGAGCTGCAATCAGAGAAGCCAGAAATGGAAATAGAACACAAGATTCAGATTATGTTCCCTTAGGTCCAGTCTATCTGAATGCCAAGACATTTCACAGGTACAATTATTTCCATGCATTGCTGATTATAATGACCCCTTAAATGTTTAGTAATGAGGAGAATGACCAGATGTTCATTGTTCATAGCAAATTACTCATTAATCATTCTCTTCTTAAAAACTTGCTATGACAGGAGCTACTTAGAAATGGAAAAACAGTTCAAAGTATTTGTGTATGGAGAAGGGGAGCCTCGAATTTTCCTCAATCCACCATGCAAAAGCATATACTCCATGGAAGGTAACTTCATGCATGCTATTGAAAGGAATGACCATTTTCGAACTAAAGATCCAGAGAAAGCACATGTGTTTTTCCTCCCATTTACTGTAGTAACGGGGCTTCGATATGGCTACGAAAGAGTCTCACAAGACTCTAGTCCCCAAAGAAACACTGTGACAGATTATGTCAATGTCATTGCTGCAAGATATCCTTATTGGAATCGAAGTCTTGGAGCAGATCACTTCACCCTTGCTTGCCATGACATGGTAAACACCTCAGTACCACTGTTCATTTTCCTTGCATTGTTGATTTAAAAGGCATAAATATTTAGACTTAAAATTTCATTACATTTTATTATAATAGTTAGATGATTACATGCATCTGTTCATCTTTTCTGTTTGTTTAGTGCCGAGGGACATCATTATCCTTATCTGATCCGCTCAAGAACTCTATTAGAGTACTTTGTAATGCCAACACAGCTGAAGGATTTAAGCCTGCAAAAGATGTTTCATTTCCTGAAATTAATCTCAAAACTGGTTCAACAAACAGTTTCGTTGGTGGGCCATCTGCATCTAAACGTTCAGTTTTGGCTTTCTTTGCTGGGGGAGTTCAGGGCCCCATCATTCCAGATCTTCTTAAGCATTGGGAAAACAAGGATGAAGGTATTCAAGTTCAAAAGTATCTCCAAGAGGGTATTTCTTACCATGAGATGATGAGGAAGAGCAAGTTTTGCCTTTGTCCAAGTGGGTCTGAGGTGGCTAGCGCTAGAGTGGTGGAGGCAATTTACAGTGGGTGTGTTCCTGTGCTGATTTCGGAGCACTATGTCCCTCCTTTCAGTGATGTTTTGAATTGGAAGTCATTTTCAGTTCAGGTTTCGGTGAAGGACATTCCTAACTTGAAGGAGATCTTGAAGAGTATTTCTCCAGCACAATACATGAGAATGGAGAGAAGAGTGAAACAGATTAGAAGACACTTTGAAGTACATTCTCCTCCTAAGCAATTTGATGTGTTTCACATGATCCTTCATTCTGTGTGGCTTAAGAGATTCAACTTCAAAATTTTCAATGATCAAAATGTCTTAAGTCAGTAACTTTGTTATGTTTGATGAATCACTCAATACAGGTTCACTCTAGCAATAATAATGTATTGAGTTAGTCTTATTTGTTCATGTGATTTTGTCATGTTTGTTCCTATCATGTTTGTTCCTATCATGTTTGTTTTTGTGATGTTTAGTAAGAAGAGTAAATCATGAACCTTTTCAAGAACTTCACTTGTAATTCATGTTGTTTTATCTTAATATATTTGCATTTACTATAATTCTTTTAGTTTTTTTCTTTTATTTATTGCTTGTTGTTTTGTTTTTGTTATAAATTTTTTATTTCTCTTACCAAAAAATTAGTATGTACAAATTTAAGAAAATTAAAAATATAATAAATAATAAAAAACTAATGAAGTTTTAATATGATAACCACTTTTAATATGAAGATTATTAAATTGGAAGTTGTCTTTTCCAAGTCTAATTTTACATAAGAATTAAGAGAAGAGTGGAAAAAATTAGAAGACACTTTGAAATACATTTTGTGTGGCTTAAGAGACTAACTTCAAAGTTCACCATGATCAAAATGTCTTAAGATAGTAACTAGGCTATGTTTGATGAATTACTCAATACAAATTCACTTTGGCAATAATAATATATTCAGTTAGTCTTATTTACTTATATGGTGTTTGTTTTTGTCATTTTTATTTTTATCTTGTTTGTTTCTATCGTGTTTGTTTTTATAGTGTTTAGTAAGAAGAGTAAGCTATGGAACCTTTCCAAGAACTTCACTTGTCTTTGATGTTCTTTTATCCTAATATATTTGCATTTAATTTAATCCTTTTAGTTTCTTTCTTTTATTTATTGCAACACTTGTGGTTTTGTTTTTGCTACCATTTCTTTGTTTCTCCTAAAAAACAAATTAGTATGTAAATATAAGGAAATGCTTGGTGAGCAAAATCTCCTTTCACACATAATGTGAAATTTTTGTTTTATTTTCTTCTCTTTTTTTCCTTCCTATAGATCCTATTTAGTTTCTCCTTTCATCCTTTATTTTTGGATGTTTTTTACATAGTTAGTGTAAATTTTGACTTAAAAATAATTATGAATTTAAAGCAAGTTGAGAGAACGAATTTGTGTCTCATATAATTTCTATAAAGTTAAGAAAAATAAAATAGTAAAAAAGTTAAAAAAAACTATTTTAGTTTGTGCATTAAATTATTAAAAAAGATCTCAAAGAGAAACAAATTAAAAAAAAAAACTTAAAAAGTTTTAAAAAAAATTTAATCACATTATTAAAAAAATTAAGATATGAAAGATTATAAACATTTTAATTATTAAGATGAATATCTTCAAATTTAGAAACATATATGATTATATAAATATATTAATAGTATTATAAATTTTAAAATCCAAGTAATCAAATTATTAAAAAATAATTTTACATAAAAAATAATATATATTAAAATTTTAGAAATTGTAAAAAGTAAAAAAATAAAAGTTAGGAAAGAGAAGTTAAGAAACTTTCATGTTATTTCCATAAAAATTAAAAGTATAATAAAATAGTAAAAAACTAATGAAGTTTCAATACGATAATCACTTTTAATATGAACATTATTGAATTGGAAGTCGTCTTTTCCGAGTGTAGTTTTACATAAGAATGCAAAGAAGAGTGAAATGAATTAGAAGACATTTTGAAGTACATTATACTCTCAAGCGATTCGATGTGTTTTACATTATTCTTCATTCTATGTGGATTAAGAGACACAATTTCGAAGTTCACGATGATAAAAAATTTCTTAAGTTAGTAACTTGGCTATGTTTGATGAATTATTCAATACAAGTTCACTTTGACAATAATAGTATATTGAGTTAGTCTTATTTGCTTATGTGGTCTTTGTTTTTGTCATGTTTGTTTCTAATGTTTTGTTTTTGTCGTGTTTAGTAAGAAGAGTAAGCTATGGAAACTTTTCATGAACTTCAACTATCTTTGATGTCATTTTATCTTAATATATTTTCATTTACTTTAATCCCTTTAGTTTCTTTCTTTTATTTAGGTTTAATGTCTCAATAGGTCCCTATTTTTGTTAAGAATTTGAAATAGGTCCCTTTATTTTTTGGCGTCTCAATTGGGTCCTTATTTTTGTTAATTTGATGCAAATAAATCCTTTCCGTCAATTTCATCAAACGGCGTTAATGAATGTGTGACGTGGCCTTACACGTGTCAATACTGTCCTCAGGCCACGTCACACATTCATTAACGCC